GAAGAAGCTTTTTTGGCTCGAGGTACTGAAGAATATGATGATGATGATGTCGATGATGCTGTTGTTCATAGTTGGTTAAAGTGTATTAATGAAGACAAACCGGTCTGTTTTGAACAGATGTATGAAGAATATGTGGCCGCCAGATTAGAAGAGCAGCCCGCCAATGAGGCGAATGCCGTCAATGAGGCCACTGGATCACAGAGGAATGCTTTCGTCGCTGACTTGGTTGAGGTCGTACAGAGTCTGAAGACAGAAATGGAGAATGGGTTCAAGGAGATGAATGACAAGTTTGGTGGGTTGGTTACAAGAGTTGCAGCAGTGGAAGGCTATGTAAAAGAGCAATTAGATGCTCGAAGCATGTATGAGGACGTGAATTATAATGATTACATTCCTCATACTGTGAATAACAATGATGCGAATAATATTGATGGGGATGGAGAGAAAACAGCACAGGTAAAATTTGGTTGACTTAGACCTTTAAAAAAAAGTAATACTATGTAATACTAAGTACAATTATGTGTTTTGCAGGGAACCGAGCCAATGGATGAAGCACAGGTGGAGAAGGAGGTGGTCCCGGAAGCAGATAAGGGAGCAAAGAGGTGGCGGATAGAGAGAAAACAACAGAGGTAAAATTTGGTTAACTTAGACCTTGAAACGAAAAGGTAATACTAAGTACAATTTTGTGTTTTGCATGGAGAAGAGCAAGAGCAAGAAGCACAGGTGGAGAAGGAGGTGGTCCCGGAAGCAGGAATTGAGGAACCAGAGAAGGAGGCAGAGAAGGAGGCAGAGAAGGAGGCGGAGACAGGCGTTGAGCAAGCAGAGAAGGAGGCAGGACAGGAGGCGGAGGCAGGGCAGGAGGCAGAGACATGGCTTGAGGAAGCAGAGATGGAGACAGAGCAGGAACCTGAGATAATAATTTGGTTGTCTAAACGAAAACGGTATACTATTTTGTGTTTTGCAGGGAGTTTAACTGTTTGTGTTTTGCAGGGAGAAAAGAATGAAGCGGAGAAGGAGAAGGAGAATGAGGTAGAGCACGTAGGAGAGGAGGAAGCGGCTAAGGAGGCAGAGGAGGCAGAAGAGGAGGAAGATGAGGAGGAAGAGGAGGCAGAAGAACTGGGCGGTAATTCGATTTCACTAATGCGATGTAGCAGTGTGATAAGAGTAGGTGGCAGAAGGATGAAGGTACCTAACAAGTGTGTGGATGCTCTTTTATCTAAAGGGGACGGGGAAGCTAAGGAGGCAGAGGAATCCAATGAGACAGAGGAAGCTAATGAAGAAGAGGAAGCTGAGGAGGCAGATGAAGAGGTAAATTTTCTATTCTTACACCCTGAAACAGAAATGTCACACTATGTAATACTAAGTAAAGCAATGCGTGTTTGCAAGGAGAAGGGACATCTTCCGTGCAGGGTAAGCAGGTGTATCGAAGGAGAAAAAAACGTTCACAGTCCAAAGTGGAGAAGAAGGTAGCTGACGAACCCAAGAAGAGGAAGAAAAAACATTCCCAGCATGTGCGAACTCCTTTCACAGAGGAAAAGGCCAAGAGACCCAGGAAAAAATACTGCAGTTTGACTTAAAACATTTTCTATTTTGGTTTTCAGTATGAGTTAGAACTAAAACTCGAATGCTGATATGGTGGTGTTTGGATTTAAAGTTTGGATTTAATGTTTGGATTTAAAGTTTAGATTTAAACTAAAACTTTAATCGTATTTCATTTGGTGTTTAAAACTATGGTATGGTGTTTTAATTTGTTTGGATTTGGTGTTTTGGTTTGTGTTTGACAAAGTAACAAGCAAATGAAAACACTAAAAATAGTTATAAAACCATTGAAGTGCAAGGCAAATGAAAAAAGATTCTCAAACTAAGAGAAATCATTCATTTTAACTACTTAAACAAGCAGATAAAAAGGAGATGACAACTGAATGGAGGACAATAAGCACTCCAATCAGTAGCTTCAGTTCCTTTTCCTGAGACACCATGTTCTCAAGTTTCAGCACCTTCTCCTTTAGGTCGGTCAAATCTGTAGCACAAATCTGCAATGTATCCATTAAAGGGAGAAGCTGGTCTCGGGTTTGCGAAACAGTATCCCACATCAGGTAGGTGTTGACAATATCGCCATCACTACTCGATGTAATGTAGCGAATTTGATGGTGCATGTCATTAACGTCTTCGTTCATGGCATGGAACTCCTCCATCATTGCCTCATCCCACAATGTCCTTGGAATCCCTCAATGCTAGCTCCTCAATGCGTACTTCCTTGCTTTCCTAAGAACACCATTAATAGATTCTACAATATTGGAGGTGTCTATGTTGTACCTTTCTCCTGGAAAATATCATCTTGCCTATTTGTCCACATGAACACTACCATCGAGATACTGGGCTGCAGAAGGATACTTGGTTCTAAAAGCATCAAAAAGTGTCAGGAACTCACTCTCTTTATACGCATGAGCGCATTCTTTGAACTTCATAATGCATGTATCTTTGTTGATGCAGTAAACATTCGCTTTTACATTATGAGACAAATGTTGTATACAATACCCATGCTGAGACAATGGAAATGCCGCCTGCACGGACTTGATGAGGCTTATCAGAAAGAAACAACAATTCAGGATCATCCGGTATCACTGATTTCAACATGTTCATAAACCACATCCAACTAGCATCTTTCTCACCATCAACTACACCAAACGCAATTGGATAATGGTGATGATTAGGATCTTCAGCTGCAGCAACTAACAAAACACCACCATATCCAGTCTTAAGGTGGGTTCCATCCACAACAATGACTTTTCTCATTGCTTGGAATCCCTCAATGCTAGCTCCTAACACAAAGAATAGGTACTTGAACTTTTTCGTTTCTTCCAATTCCACATAAGTTCGTGTACCAGGATTCATCGACTCCAACATGTACATATAGGAATACACCAACTGGTAACTCTCGGCTGGACTTCCCCGCACATCATTTGCAGCTTTTTTCCCCCCTCAAAGCAGTAGAGTATGATACTTTAACCCCAAGTCGTATTTGAACCATATCGATCAGATGTTTGGAGTTGGAGTGTCAAATTTACCCGGATAATCTTCATGCACAACAGATGCAACCAATCCTGGTGTCCCTTTCCTTTTATTCCTGACTGTAACTGCAGAAGCTCGAGAGCATGTATGCATCTTGTTGTAAGTTCTTACCAAGAAACAATATGATTCCATCAACTTTGCAGGTCGTAAAGACCACTTGCAACCATTTTTGCTTCGCGACATTTCACCATGTATCGCTTTTTGTCAGACTTGATTGTATCAACCTCAAAACAATTCTGATGTGAGCCTATATGAACTAAATCTTGCAGTGTCTTCTTACTTCTAAATTCTTGACCTACAATCATTTCAATACCATCTTCCCAGCCATTATTTACTGCTACTTCTTCTATAGCAGGTCCATAGTCAGTATCATCAATCTCTTCCCTTGACACATTTCTTTGTTCTGCTTGATGGCCTTCTGATGGTTCACCTCCATGAAGAGTAATTATACCAGCATTAACATTCATACCACTTGAAAATACCTGCTCATTACTTGGACCATTTACACTTTCACGATCCTCTCTTGAAGGTCGCACAAAACCCTGATCGACATCTTCCACGATCTCCACGTGCAAAACACTTCTACATGTATTGTTATTCACTTGCATCAGGTAGCCAAAAACATTCTCATCATTCCAGATATATGATGGCTTAGGATCCACTACCAATGGAAAGTAACTGACTTTCAGCTGCGTATTAGCTTCATTTATCTTCATCTTGCGGCATATTCCCATGATCAACCCAGCATAAGTTACCTCCTCAATAGATGTCTTCATCACTAAGGTGTGAATTTCATCTTCTCTTGCTACCCATCTTATGACATCACCTTCCTTTGAATAAGATCCCCCATAACGAAGCATATAATAGTGCAATGACTTATATTCATTGTCCTCTGAACAACAATAACAAATATCATTAGTATATGTCTCAATCATATCAGTTCTCTCACTAATACTAGCAATAATGCTAGTCTAATTATACCCCAGTTGTTCCTGTAATATTACTTCTATCAGTATTACCACTTTTCTTAACAATGCTCAGTAATACCAGTTGCTCTCAGTAATACCGGATGTCTTAGTAATACCAGTTGGTCTAATAATACCCAATTCGTCTATCCAGAAAATTTCTATTTATCTACGAATCTACAATGATTTACTACGAATCGGGATGATTTGATGTGCATTTAACAATTATAACTGCTCATATTTACTGACCTAAGACCCTTAGCAAAGAATTTCAATTACCTACTGATCTAGAAAAACTTCAGAACTATAGCGCCATTGGAGGACCAAGAGCAACAATGTGTAGCACTCCCCATTATTTAAGATTCAAAGCGTATGTAAAAGAGATAATGCGGCAACAGACTCACCTCTGAAGTTCTCAAACAGCTTCAAAATGGAGAATGTTGTATTTTGGGAAACAGGAATGAAGATGGATCCGCCAACGAGCCATGAAGAAGATGAAGATGTGGGGTCCATGAATAGTTAAGAACTAGTTGAGAATTAAATTATAATATTGTAGATTTGTTTTTTTTATTTATCTTATTAACTTAAAGATATTATTATTTTAATAAAGTAGGGTGAAAGCAAAATAGAGATAAGAATAAGGGGAGAGCATTGCGATTAAGAGAGGAATAATTATATTTTTTTCAAACACTTAAGGACATATTAACTTTTTACCCCATTAATTTAGACTAACTTATTATATTTTTTCAAATTAAAATTTTGGATATATTAATTATTTTATATCAACTATAACAAATATATTTTATTTTTTTCAACTATTTGGTCGATCGTAAATCGAACCGGGAGTTTATTCATTTAGTAGAGAGATCCGTAAAGGTCTATTATTCAACTTTTAATTTGTTCTGGAAAAGTTTGGAATAAACACAAACGCTTAAACGGCGTCATTTTGATAAAAAAAAACTAGACGCGAGGTTTTCGCTCGAGCTAACCCAAGCGGCGATTATTCCGATCGCGAGATTTCACATAATTCCGTCGCCGATCTCGGAGTTAAAAAACTGAGCGTGTGTTTCTAACTCCATCAGATTTATTAACTAGCCCTTAAAGGTTTTGTGTTTTTCACGATTTTACACCGATAAAGAAAATTTCACGATAAATTCCAAATTCCAAAATCAGAGTGTGGTTTCATACAAATCCCGAAAGAATGGGAAACGTCGGAGGCGAAGAAGAAGAAGGTTCAGCAATCAAAGCTTTGGGCTCTCTCTTCAAGCTTACTCAAGTTCATCTATGGTTAATCTCTCTTCATATCCATGACTCTTATAAGCGAATTCTCGAGCTGTTCTTTCTCTCTTTCTCATCTTCTGATTCTCGTCTGTTTGAATACTCAGGGACGATGGCTCGACTGATACTCGTTTGGTTCCTCTCTTCCATGAACACACCGATGTAAGTAACTTTCCTTTGTTTTCAACTCCTTTGGATTCAAATTTTCAGCTTTTTCATTTTTGCTTCTTGTTGGAATTGCAGATATCGCCTAATGATCATCGTTCTGGAATCGCTAGTATGTCTTACTTTCTAGCTTAACTCAACAGGTTTCTTAAAGTTAGATTTCATGGATTTGTGATCGAACCATTTTGATTTTGTTGAAGATAACAGGTCTGAGGATATGGGAATGATAAAAGAGATGAAGGCTCTAGGTCTTCCGGTTTCTTTTCAAACAAATAAGGAGGTAGCCTTTTTTCTCCATTTATCAAAAAAAAATCCTCATGGTTTTAAGTTATAGTGTAGATGCTGAGAGTTTCAACAATGTCAATGCAGTGGAAGAACAGAACAAGAGGCCACCACAAGAAAGGAATCAAGGTTAATCTTCTGTTCAGTGAAGAAGACACTCTGAATTTGGTATTGGATTGCTCTCCTGATCCTGCTATTGGTGTAGAAAACGATTGTGTTGCGGTCGAAGAAGAGAATCATGAAACTGTAGGAAAAAGAGATACAGATTCTGTGTTGATATCAGAGACTACAGATTCTCAGAGATGCAAACTTGGTGATGAGCATGACTCTGATGAATGGAAAGTCTACTGGGATTCTTTTTATGGAAGAAGTTATTTTTACAATGTTAAGACGCAAGAGTCTACATGGGAGCCGCCACTTGGTATGGAGCATCTAGCTAATAGCTACGAAACCTATAACATGAATGAATTGTCTATAGAGGTGATTGAGATGGATGCTTGCCTTTCTTTTATCTTTCTTGTGAAATTTCAGGTGGTTTTTTTATATTTACCGTTTTCTTTTGTGGTATTTAAGACAACAGAGAAGTCACATGATGACCTGGTTAGAACTGGACCTGCCGATGATGTTCTGGCTGAAATATCTGATGATCTTGGTGAAGTTTCTAGAAGTCAATGTGAAACAGAAGTCCTAGAGGAAGTTAGCAGGTATAACAATTCTTCCTGCTTGTTTTTTTTTTTTTTTTATAATAGCATTGTGTTCCTGGTCTGAACTTAGTTATAGATTCTAACTACTGAATAAACAACTATTTCTTCTACAGTATCATTAAGTATTAGCCATTGATCACTACAATGTTGATCTAATTAGTTTGTCTCAGTCTTACATATGCAAACTTTGTGTGGCATTACTGAGGCACCAGTGGTACAATTTGAAATGTTGAGGTTCTTAGAATGTTTGTAATGCTCTTGTTTGAAGCTATTGATATAAAGCTGATCGAATCTAAGACAATTAGTTCTGTAGCGTTTTTAAATGTATGCTTAAAAAGGCATGAACTTGATTTTATGTATGTTGGTTAGCCTCTTTGACATTTTCCTTGTTTCCAGTTTGATTGATGCATACGAAGAAACTTTCAATGGAAATCAAACTTTGGATAATACTTCTCTTGAAGAAGAGGTTAACGGTACATATGTTGTCAATTCCATTAAAAAGGCTAAAAGGAAGACAAGAAGAACTCGATCCAGAAAGATTTTCTCCAGTTCGAACACAGGTTTGTATTACCTACGCCATACATATAGCTCTGAATTTTCATAGTTGCATCTGGTCGGTTCTTAAAATGTTTTAGATTCTTATGTGATAAGGGTCTCGAACGAAAGGTGTTCTTGAAGAATATTCAGATATCCTTGGCAAGTATTGGTGCCAAAGGTATCTCCTCTTCTCCAGATTTGATGAAGGCATCAAAATGGACGAGGAAGGATGGTTTTCAGTCACTCCTGAACTTATAGCTAAGCATCATGCTACGCGCTGTAACGGAGGCATAGTCATTGACTGTTTCACAGGAGTTGGTGGAAATGCTATTCAGTTCGCATCAAGGTGACTGGGGATACACTTTTTAGTATAAAGTTTTAGTGATTTTACACTTCTAAATATAAAGCCATCGCAGGATTTTAATTTAACATAGAAAGCGTTTTGAACATTCTCTGCTGTGTTGCGTATGCCATTGTAGGAATCACTATGTGATTGCAGTTGATCTGGATCCAAAGAAACTTGAATTAGCACAGCATAATGCTGCCATATATGGTGTTGCTGATAAAATCGACTTTGTGAAGGGAGACTTCTTCGACTTGGCGCATAACTTAAAGGTATCTTTTTCTTCAGCATTTCTCAATTTGTTTTTATCCATTGAAAAAAAAATTCCATTATGTAGGGAGGCACTGTGTTCTTATCGCCTCCTTGGGGAGGCCCTGATTATGTTAAAGCGAGTAGTTATGACATGAAGACAATGTTAAGACCTCGTGACGGGTATATTTCTCGTTTTGATTAAGAGTTTTTGAGGTATTAATCTCTTTCCATGATAAGACATATATACTCACTGTTACTAATATGATGCAGAGACGCTCTATTCAAGGCGGCTATGAACATTGCGTCAACGATCATTATGTTTCTTCCAAGAAATGTTGATATTAACCAATTGGCGGAGTTAGCTTTATCAACGTCTCCTCCACGGTCACTTGAGGCAAGTATTTGTCCTTCTTGTTACACTGTTGAAGAATATATGTTATTTGATATTTATATGAAAAGTATTTCTGCTTTTAGTAACATTTCTCTAAACAGGCAAGCCACAATTGGTTTCAGGTTGAAAAAAACTACTTAAATGGGAAGCTGAAGGCGATAACAGCGTACTACTTGAGACAAGAGGGTTGTTAGAACTTAGGGGAAGACATAGATTCAATGCAAGAAAGCTGTTTCAGCTTGTCGAATACAATTTGATGAAAATTGATTGTGAACATAGGTTTTATGCATTTGTATATATAAAATGTGTGTTTTGTAAACTTGCTGTAACTCATTGCTTTAAGCTTAAATTTTGGGGAATGAAACTTGTGCAAGAAAACTAAATGAGACGCAAGCGTTAACAAATTCAGAGTTATGTCATTGTTATGGAGTCTAGTCTCGTCTGGGAGTTGTGTTTTGAATACACAGTAGCGAAAGAAAACATTCTGTTGCTCTCTCACACACAAATAAATAAAACAACTCCTTCAGGGTGTTGAAAATAAAATTATTTCTTTGAGTAAAGTACTAAAGTTTCATTAAAAATGTCTCATTAACTCAGTATTTAATATTGGACAAACTAATATTTCTTACAACAATAGCAACGACCATCAAGCTACGCCAAGAGCAGCGACCATCAAGCAACATGCTCTGGAACAAAGTTTTGATGCACAATATAGGTAATATATTTTGTCTGAACAATGCCTCGTACATGTACATCTGTTGAAAATAGGTCGTGACATATGATTATTCTTGGGTAGAACATCAATTACCTGTCCATGGATATAGGGAAACGATGAACCAGGCTTCATGGATAAATCATCCCCAATCAAACATTCTTTGTGTAAGGTGACACAGCAGTACTCATCACACATATAAAACCCATTTTTCTATTTACTTTACTTTCACAAGCCTCACACCAATATGTCATTGTACTTGTCTCCTCCCCATATGAAAAAATAAGTATATGCTTATCATGCTTATACCTCACTTTTTGAGGTAAAATAGCACACTTGAAACATAAAGCAAAATCATCGCATTCAATGCAATTGAATGTTTCCCTTGTGTATATATCGTATTCTACTTGGCAAAAACAAGCTCTCAATTCTCCTGGTTTGGATGTTAGGAATAAAGGATGCATATGATTTTGATGGACTAATGGCTCAGAAATTGTGACACACTGCACATGTAGCTTGAAACCACATTCTCGTTTCCCGCACTCATAGAAGAAACCAGTTGTCAAAGATTCAATACAAGCTGAACAAGTCTTCTCATAGTCCATAACATCTCCCATTAGAGATAGAGTGAGCTGTGTGGATGTATTGGATGATATATCTTGCGAGAAAGATTTGCACATGTTTTATGTAGAATAAACTCACATTGCACACAAGAGTAGAAGTTACCGAAATAGATTGGCGTGATGCATGCTTAACGCTGAAATATTGTATGATTCCATTGCTTATCTTCACAAATGGCTCAACTTCTTCATCTTCTATCTCTTCTGGCTCTATTACAAGATCTATGCCATCCCATACATTGTTCTGTGTGGCACATCTTGAGAGCCGCATACAAACAACCGTTCTTGTTGCACGAATAACCCTCATAATCATTGTTGATCTCTTTGCGACAAACATTACAAGACCAGTCTCCTTGGCCAAAAGAAGGCCTAAAAGATATACAATGTGGATGTTGAGATATCCTTATAACGCTTGGTAAGTTGATACATCTTAGATGAACCACAAAATCACAAGGGGGACACATATAGATAGGATAGCTTGAATTGGCCAAGGCGCATACGTTGCAAGTTAAGAAAGCCTGTCTGGAAAACAAAGCAAGTGTATGCTCATGCCACTTTGTAGAGGGTATATATAAGACTGGTGGTTTCTCCACACAAGCTATGTTCATAACATAATCGCAGACAGAGCAGTAATAAAATACCTTTATGAAATTTTCGTCACAGCAATATCATATTCTGCTTTCATCGTCATTCAACATAAGCTGAAGAGACTGTTTCGGATGGAGATGGTGTTTGATCTGGATTGGAGCCTTTTCATATTCTTTATGGTATTCGGCATGCAACTTTCGCAGCGGAAATGGGTAGCTTCTTCTCCAGTTAACCTGATTTTTTTCCAATCTCCAATGAAACATCGCCACATGTCATTGTCAACTCTCTTCGGCTCGAGGTTTACAGTCACATAATTTTTTCCTTCACTAAAACATCTTTTTGCTTGACCTTTTGTTTGAGGGTATAAGCAAATAAGTTTCTTTGATTCTGAATTCATAGAGCTGATGACGTAGACTATTTGATGGATGAGTGATATGAGCTCTGGATCTGGCTTGAGTCTCAATGTTTCATCAACGAGTGAAGTGAACTCAGGCTCCTGGTCCGAATATGAAGAGATTTTCTGAGAAATGACTGATATGAGATTAGACAGTGGTTTCGGCAGGGAATCCAAATCCATGGAGATGAAGAGAGAGACTGCTTGAGTTATTAGTGATACAATCAGATCACTGATTGATTCTCTTCTCAATCCACTTATGTTAAGTATATATGTTATCATTAAACACTAGTTTGATACTCTAGTTTGCTTCATGTATATATATGTTCATAATCCTTCATTGTAATGATATATAAAAAATCAATCTCCTACATGGTATCAAGAGCTCTCGATCTCACAAACACTTAACACAATCAAAATTTTTCTTATTCAATCCTCAAACTCAACATGAGTTCTGATCATACCTCTTCTCCAGCTACCATTTCTGATGTCATCAACACTTCTCATCAAACAATTCTCACCATCAACATGTCCAATGTCTCGAAGCTGACCACCACCAACTACCTCATGTGGAGTCTCCAGGTCCATGCTCTCTTTGATGGCTATGACCTTGCTGGTCATCTAGACGGCTCCACCACCGTTCCTAATGCAACTCTCACAGAAGGAGACCAGATCTCTGTCAATCCGGCTTTTACAATTTGGAAACGCCAATACAAACTAATTTACAGTGCCCTCATTGGTGCTGTCTCGTCGGCTCTTCAGCCCTTTGTGTCCCGTACGACTATTTCCTCTGAAATTTGGAGTACGTTGGCTGCAACATATGCCAAACCAAGTCGTGGGCATATCAAACAGCTCAAAATGCAGTTGAAAAACTGGAAGAAAGAGACTAAGTCGATTGATGAATACCTTCAAGGCGTCATCACACACATGGATCCGCTCGCCATCCTCGGAAAAGCAATTGATCATGAAGACCAAATTGATCTCATTCTCGAAGGACTTTCCGAAGACTATAAATCTGTTGTTGATCATGTTGAGGGATGTGATGCTCCGCCCTCTATCACTGAGCTTCATGAGAGATTGCTCAATCATGAAGCAAAACTACTTTCAGCGTCGAGCTTCCCAACGGCACACACACCTGTCACAGCCAATGCAGCCCATCAACACAACACCAACAACTATCGTGTTACAACAATCGTCCGAAGAATAATCACAACAATAATCAGTGGCAACAACAACCGAATTCAAACAACTGGCCATCGCCTTAATACCAACAACATAATAATCAAAAGGATCAAGGCAATACCTTGGCAAATGCCAAATCTGTGGAGTGCAAGGTCATAGTGCAAAACGATGCTCCAAACTTCAGATGTATCAGTTATCCTCTACTCAGCAACAAATGAACCCGTTCACACCATGGAATCCTCGGGAAAACATGGCAACTACCTCTTCGTACAATGCAAATAATTGGCTTCTGGATAGTGGTGCCACACATCATATTACTTCAGATCTACAAAACCTGTCGCTTCATCAACCTTATCGTGGAGGTGATGATGTGGTGATTGCAGATGGTTCTTCTATTCCGATCACACATATGGGTTTCACTCTTCTTCCTACTCAATCTCGAAACTTAAGCTTAAACAAAGTTCTATGTGTGCCTACTATACATAAGAACCTCATCTTCGTACATAAACTATGTAATGCTAATAATGTATCTGTGGAATTTTTCCCAAACTCCTTTCAGGTGAAGGATCTGAGCACGGGGTCCAGTTACTATCCGGAAAAGCTAAACAAGAGTTGTATGAATGGCCGAATCACATGCCCTCAATCAAAGCTATGGTGGCTACATTAGGCTCCAAGACACCTTTGTCATCTTGGCATTCTCGGCTAGGCCATCCATCCTCCTCAATAATAAACACCCTTGTTTCCCATTTCTCAATTCCTGTTTCTGCAAATTCTTCCAAACTCTTGTCCTGTTCCGATTGCTTAATCAATAAAAGTCACAAACTACCTTTTTATCAATCCACAATTGTTTCCACAAGACCCTTCGAATATCTATATTCAGATATCTGGAGTTCTCCTATTATATCAACTGACAACTACAAATACTATCTTACTATAATCGATCACTAGGCTTTGGATCCGCACCGTGTTTTTTATTTATTTCATTGTGAAACCCATTTAACACTAATGTCTATAGCTTAAACCGAATATTTTGAGACATATTGGCATATTAGTTTAATTTGAAGCCCAAGTTCAAATTTTATATCTGATTATTAAGCCCGCTAAGAGGTTTGTTGTTGTCACTCTAGGTCGAATATTCATTTTCTTAATTTAGGAAAGTAACATATATATTTTCTTTCTTACCCTAACAATTTACGATTCATCTTGTATCGTTCTTTAACTTCAAATCATTGCAAAAGGATTGAATATCTCGATTATAGGTTGCTTTTCTATAGAAGATGATATTTTACAATTGATGAACTGAGAAGAGAAGAAGAAATCTGAGCACCGATGATCCTGCGATTAAAGTAAGGAAATTTGTATCTTCTATTTTTCTAATTATCAGATTCTCTCATAATTTCTGCTAGTTTCCAGTAAAATCAATCGTTTTATTTTAGTTATAAATATAAGCTAGATCAACAAAATCCAGCCGATTTTAAGATTACTTTACTTCTGAGTTTGGTTGATTTGTTCGAATACTATCGTATTCTAGCTCCTAAAGTCATTTTCTGCGATTTGAACTCGAGATCTCTTAGTTCCTGCATAATATTCTTATTTAATTTCAGTATATATTCAGTTTGGCAAAAACCAAAATTCTAAGAACTTGCTTTGATTAGTTTCGCTTTACAACCAATATCATAAAAAATCTGATTTCCAAGTTTGAAACAATAGTTTGAACCTAATTTTGGATTGAATTTGAATTGAGCTGTATATGTTCAATGCTTTGACAGGGATGGATTATTGGTGAATGCAACAATCCACAAAAATTTGTCATGTTCAGCACATTGTGTGGAACATTATGATTGAAAATCTGGAGATTTTATCTAAATAGAAAGGAATAAGAATTTATGAACTATCTAAGTGTGAAGCAGGGAATTAAGCTCCAATTCTCATGAATTG